CCACCACTGAGGTAATGGGATAAAAGTTACTCTTCAAGGATGACTCATTAGAGGGCCACTGTGCCTACCTTCACGGAGCCCAGTGACGACGCGGGAAGAGCAGTGCAAAAAGCGGCCTTCTCCCTAAAGAAGAGACACGGGAGTCCATGGGAGAAGCGACCATCACACCTCAGGGAAATCAGGTGTGGCTTCACGGAGGGATGGCATGGAATCTGAGCTTTGAAGGGAGTTCCGGTAGCTTATTAATTATACTAACAATAATGGCAATAAAGAGGGCTTTTTGCCCAGCCACTGTGGCACAGTTGGTTGAGCATCATCCCATGAACCAGGAGGTCTCGGTTCAATTCCCGGTCAGGGCAAACGCCCGGGTTTTGGGCTCCATCCCCAGTAGGGGGCACGCAGGAAGCAGCCAATCAATATCAAGAGATAGAAACATCAATGAGATAGGTCATCATTGATGTTTCTATCTCCCTCTCCCTTTCTCTCTGAAATAAATTAAATCCACCCCCCTCTTTTTTTTTAAAGAGGGCTCTTTCCATGTGTTGGGCCTAGACCCGTGATCAGCAAACTACGGTTCTCGAGCCACATGTGGCTCTTTGGCCCCTTGAGTGTGGCTCTTCCACAAAATACCATGGCCTGGGTGAGTCTATTTTGAAGAAGTTTAAGTTTAAAAAATTTGGCTCTTAAAAGAAATTTCAATCATTGTACTGTTGATATTTGGCTCTTTTAACTAATGAGTTTGCTGACCATGGGCCTAGGCCAGACTGGCAATTCAGAAGGGAACCCCAATCCTCAGGGACTTGGGAGACTGGCAAAGGGCACAATCAGGTAAGCAGCAGGATGAGCAGAGTGGTGTGCACTGGGATGGAGGTGGGCAGGGAGAGGAGCTGTCCCAGCAAGGGAGGGAGGAAGTGGTGCTGGCAGGCTCCCCAGAAGAGCATCCCTGGAACAGTCAGCTGAGTCTTGATAGGCTGCAGAAATGCCCAGGGAAGATGAGGGAAAGACAATTGAGGCAGAGACAGCTCCGTATGCAAAAGGGAGAAAGAGAGCAGGGGCAACTGGAAAGAGCTCCTAATTTAGTGGGTGAAGTGCAGGTGGGGCTAGTGGGCAGGGAGTGGATGGGGCTGAGAGGCGAGCAGGGGCCGTTGGGAGGGCTTTGCTTGTCATCCTGGGCCCTTGGTGAAGCCTCTGTAGGCCACAGGAACCACTGATGTTGAAGCTGGTCACGGAAGCTAAGCTCAAGCCCCTGGGGCGGAGGAAGAGCCAAGGTGGAGAGGGAATCCATGTGAGTGTTGCGTGTCTTTGTAGCTGGGCCTCGGCCCTGGCCTTTGGCTGTGCCACGTGGGCAGTGTGAGCTGGCACCTATGGGCCTGCCTGCAGCTCTGGCTGCCCTTCCAGCGCAGAGCTGTGAATCCGGGCTCCAGATGGGCAATTCTGGAAACAGCCAGAGCGAGTCCTGGTGAGCCTAAGCGGCCCATTTTTTCCACAGCCCCATCCTCCCAGGTGTAAGCCACTGTGGTGGGGCCCATGAACTTGATTCATTTCCACGGTGCCCCCAGCATCGGACAGGGGGCTCTGTGCCTAGTGGGGGTTTATAATCACCAAGGAAGACACCACCTGGCTTGTGACTCAGGAAGCAAAGTGGTCTCAGCACTTCCAAGACCCAAGACGTGTGGTGGGTGGTAATAACGAACACTCAACCCCTCTGGCTTCATTTAAAACATGAGGGCCATTTGAGAACAAAACTGAATCACTACCACAGGCAAATGGGAAGTCAAAAATGACTGCATGAAGATGTCAACAGTTTTTCTCCAGACTGGACATGCGACCTCTGGCACCCAACCCCCTGGGTCTGAATCCCATTCTGGGATTCAATAGCTCTGTGACCTTGGGAAATTACTACACACACTGAGCTCCTGCTTCTTCACGTATAATAAATGAAAAATAATAGTGCCTTCCTTGTAGGGTTACTATGAATATTAAACGAGACTAATAACATATGCTCAGTGCATGCTAGCATTGTTTTTGCATTGTTATTCCTATTTGTCTTTATACATTGATTTGCTAGCTCAAGAGGATTGTGTATTCAGGGAACACTCAGCCTAAGAGAGGAAAGAGAAGGAGGAAACGGTGTGCTGATGTCTAATGAGATGCCACAGAGTCTTTTCATGTTGAAATAAAGGCACCTTTTGTTTCCAGAAGGGTCAAAATGTTTGCCTGACCATCTTGGACGGCAGACAAAAGCAAAATCAATATCCCGGATGATTTGTCTCTATGGCCAAGTCCAGATGAATAAAGCTATCAGGAGGGAGCTTTGCACCAGACAGCACAGCTGGGGGCTCCCGCCCCTGGCACTGCCTCAGCTGGGCCCGGGGGGTTCTGACGCGGTTGTCGTCATTAACACAGCCACCCCGGGAGCCTCGGAGAGCCCCTCAGGTGGCATGAGAGAAACACACCTGCTCTCCAGAACGCACGCCTGGGATGGGCGCTTAGAGGAAAATGCTGATCGTGCCCAAGTGTTTAACGAGCGTTTGTCTTTTGGCAAAAGCTAAACCAAGTCAGTGTCGGACTGCACAAATCCGCTCCTTTGGTAGGCCTCCGTGTTTTCATATGCAGTACGAGAGGGCTAGATGAGGTCTACGCAGATTCGAACTATCGACGCATTTTCTGTCTTGGAAATTTTCCGATGTTGAATTCAGGTACCGAGGAAAAGCCAGAGTGACCCACCCCATTTACATAAAGCTAAACAGCAGCACTCCCCAGCCCCCGAGTAAGAGGGTACGCGGCGGAGTGAAACCAGGAGCGAGCTTTGCAGCCCAGAGGGGCTTTCTGAGCCTCGGAGCCGAAGGTGGTCAGGACGTGGAGAGCACGTGGGAAGGCCCCGCACAGGCCCGGGTACCCGCTCCACACCTGTGTGTGGTCAGCAGCAGAGTCCCCAGCAGACCCGTGGGCTCTGGTCTGCAGAGAAGTGTGACCTTGACCTGCAGCAGGTGGGGAAGGGCCAGCACCACCCCTACCTCTCAACATCCTCTCAGCCTCGCTAGATATCCTTATAAAAAAGGTTTCCCCAGAGGAAAGAAATGTACACTTTCCGTAACAAGGAACATAACAATGGTCATAATAATGAGAAAAGCAAAATAAGCACATGTGAGTGCATTTTTTTTCCGTAGAGATTTATTTTTGTTTGATGAATCTGACACCGGTCAGGGAGAGAGGAGAATGTTGGGAGCCTGCAGGGAAATGAGCGCCCAGAGGAAGGGCCACTGCCCCCTGCCTGGGCGGGGTTGGGGTTGGGGTTGGGGTTGGGGTTGGGGTTAGGGTTGGGGTTGGGGTTGGGGCGGGTTGTTTTAATTTGTTGCTGGAAGTTTTCCTTTTGTTCACTTTTATAAATCTCTTCCCCGGGCTTGCGAGCTTCCCCTCCCGCCCCCCCTCTGCCCCCCAATTTCATTTTTAAAAAGCGAGCTCGCTCGCCAGGTGTGTCCCCCAAGCTCTCACAGCTCTAATAAATAAGGAGCACCTGTAAAACAGTAGCTTGACGTGTGAAGTGACTCTGTACAAAGGAGAATATAGAAATACAGTATGTACACCGCACCCACGGGCGTGGCACTGCCAGGCCGGTGTGGCCCAGGCCCGGCCTCACCGCCCGCACGCCCGGCACCCCTCCTGCAGCCGGCTCCACAGCCTCGTAGGCGGGGGCACCTGGACCCCTCCAGAGGGAACAATTGCTTTATTCGAGTTAGTAAACAGATACACTGAATCACAAGGTGATTTGATTTTTTTTTTTTTCTTTTTTGGGATTTTTTTTTCTTAATTTTTTTTCTCTCTCTTTTTTTTCTTTTTTTTGACTGTACTCATCAGAATGGGACACTCCACGACTGTCTCACCAACTCAGTGCCAGTACACATGCTCTAGAGGACTTCTGACTCGCAGCTACCACGGTACAAGTGCACACAAGAAAACCTACCCTGTTATCCTCCACCCACGGACTGAGGATCGAATTGCACATTTCTCTTAACCATGACAGGAGAAAGCAAACAGTGAAACAGAATCATGGGCGATCTTTCTCACTTTCCCCCTTGTTTTCATTGGTTTGTCCATACCATTCCAATTATCATGAAAAGGGCTCGGCGTATAGAGAGATTGCTTCCCTGGCTTCCTGGATCACCGAAAACCATCAGGGCTGAAATTTCATCCACGTCTTTCGTGACGCCCAGCAAATATTCCCCTCCCGGTTTATTTTACACCTTGAGGGCATTTTGGTCTTCAGTTCAACACTCTTTGCTCTGTTCCCAAATGGGGCGCTATTTAGGGGAATTTAAAGAGAAAGCTGAGAAGAATAAACATTTACCGAGTTCTCTTGGCATTCGGTCTCTGAAAAACCACAGTATAAACTATTCATGCTGCTTCTTACATCTGTCAAAATCCCGAAAATTAAAAGCCATAAAAGTGTAACACTGAAAATATGGCGTTAGAAAGGATAAAGATGGCCTTTGTAAAAAATAACAAGAAAAAGTGTATCAGCCGATAAAATATTCTAGCTCTTCGTTTAAAAGTGCATCCTGGGCAGGACAGAGATGAGTCCGGAGCGCTGGGGACCCCAGCGCGATCCCTCTCCGCCGTCCAAACGGGAACAGCGTCGGTCCGAAACCGTACAATGCAAATCACAATTCTCCGTGTAGCAGCAAAACCACAGCAGTTTTTTTTAAAAAGTATAAAAAAAAGATTTGTCTTCAAATCCGCATCATCTCCCAGCCCCACCCTCTGCGCCTTGAGGATGGAGCGGGGAGAATACCTACGTTGGTCCTTGTGGCTTGTTTGTGTTTTGTTTGTTTTGAAACCGAGGGCAAAATCCCTGCTACGTTCATTCCTCTGGGTGAGAGAGAAGCAGGGACGGTGGCAGCAGGAGGGCTGGGCCCGCTGACTGGGTCCGGGGACTGGTGCTTCTCTGGGCTGGAGGCCGCCGAGGGAGGCTGCTGCTTCCTCCCGGAGAGAGATGCTTAACGACGGGAAGCGGCTTTATTTGCTTGAGTTTTAGCCAGAGAGAGGTCGGTGAACTGAGCAGCTGGTGCCACTGGAGGTCGCGACGTGGCTTGCTCTGCGCCCTCCTTCCACGCAAGGTGCCCTGAGAGCCAGCGCTCCTGGAAAAGAGGAGAAGGGCCATCAGAACCCACGGGACCAACTGCCTGCCCCCTCACGCTCAGAGCAGCACCCTCTGCAACCTCCCGCCAGGCCCACGAGGAGGCCCCGGAATGAAGGCAGCACGAGGTGATTTCGACATGACTTTCATTCACATCTCTGCACAGGGCCAGCCCTGCCAGCTTTGTGTGAGGAAATAAACGCGAGTCGCTGTCTGGAATACCACCAGGAGCACGGTGCACCACGCCCTTGCCCAAGGACACAAGAGCATCCTTTGTGACCGGATCCGGCCACATTCACCCTCAGTGCCACAGCATCGACGGGCAGGAGGTCTTTTGAATTGCCAAGGTCACCTCGAAGCTAGGCAAGGTCATCACGGGACCCTGGAGCTTCAGACCTGGGCCCTGTATCCTATGCAAAAGCCCTGGTGTTTGCTGCAAAGGAGGAAAGCCGAGAGAGTCCCTTCTTAGCACAGGAAACATTCCTGTGCACCCAGACTCCTCCTCAGAGGGTTCTCACAGAGGCAGCTGAGCTGGGAGACATGCCCCGGCTGTGGGTCTTGCCTGACAGAGGTGAGCCATTCATAGCTCTCCACGTCAAACCATACAGGAGCTCGGGATGGAAAGGCTGTACACCACCCAGGTCCTTGTTCACCAGGAAAGTCCGTCTCTGGGGAATGCCCACCCCAGCTTTCACCACAGGCGTTAGGCTCTGCCTCACTATCCCTACTGGCTTATTTATTCACTTGCGATAAGTCCCTTGTTTAAAATATAACTTCCTAAGGACACCCAATCACTCCCAGTACGTAGCCTCATAGAAATCTGCCAGCTCATCTGTGAGGCCCCTGAGGTCTGGGGCTGCATTGATTTTGCTCACGTCTCTGTACCCAGCCCCCAGGTCAGTTCAGTACACATTTGTCAGATGAATGACGGTCAAACAGCTCTCACCCCTCGCCCCCCAAACAGAATCCTTTCTTCCTGCCTGTGAGCGGGGATGCCGGAACTGTGCATGGGGAAAATGGGGCTGGCTGAGCTGGTGACAGAGGACTCGTAAACACCGTGACAACTGCTGAGATTACTCCTAGAACAAAGAACAAATCGTATCAGAGAGGTGATAGAATTTAGAACTTGAAGCGACCCCAGAGATAATAGACTGCAATTTCCTCATTTTCCGGACAAAGAGAGGGAGGCCACCGAGAGCCCTGGAAACTTGCTCAGAGTGTCTGCAGCACGAATTCAGCGCAAGTGCTTTGAGCCCTGCTCTCCGAACCCGGGCTTCAATGGTACCGACAATACTGATCAACCAAAAACAAGGTTTGGAAATCTGAATGTGCACGACAGGAAATGCCTGAGTTCCCCAAATCACATTAAATCACCAGATCTACGCACACTTAATATGCATATTAAGTAACCAAAGTGAAAATGCAAAACACCACAAGTATGCACTGGGGTGGAATTACAGGGCATGGAAACCTTTCTATTTGGCATGGCCAGATTGGGAAATGTGGTGTTTATTTCTGACTAAAGAGCTCACTTTGCTTTTTTCCTTTCCCTTCCTTTCCTTCCCCCTTTTCTTCCTTCCTTCCTTCCTTCCTTCCTTCCTTCCTTCCTTCCTTCCTTCCTTCTTTCCTTCCCTTCCTCTCTTCCTCCTTCCTTTCCTTTTTGAAAGAATGAAATAACAGTAAGAAGGGACATAAAAACAACACCACCAAGAGCCACCATCAAATGAGAGACCACAGAGGGTTGGGAAGGAGCCTTGGGAAGGACAGACAGCCAAACGCACATGCGTGGCTTCTGCGGGATAACCGTCTCTCACTGAGGGAGCACAGGCTGAAACTTGCTGTGGGAGGAGGGAAACCATCCCCACCTCTGGGCTTGGGACCAACGGTGATCAAACCTTAGAGTGCCAGGGAGCCTCCGAATCCTTCCTTTGGAAAGGAAAAGGGGAGACAATGCCATCCTTTCCGGGCCTGGGACGCACCACCCTTCTTAGTCACTTGAGAGTACTGCCCCTGCTTCTTCAAGGAGGTAGCTTTCCCCGCTCCGAAAAGAGGATTCCTTCTCAATAAGTTTCTTTCTATTCAAATCACCTCTGGGCAAGGCATCGCCTGCGTGGGGACCATCTCAAGGCTGTCATAAGGGACCGGGAAGACGGGATTATAAGGAGAGCCATTCTGGAACCTTAACTACAGCACGTGCCATCCCAAACACTATAATAAGCATTATTCTCGGCTGTCTATTACTGTCTGGTGAATAATATGTGTTTTCCCCGAAGTTCCGAAGGGTGCAGCTGCACCACGCTCTGTTTTCACAGCCCCGCTCCGGGGGCTGAAAGCCCGCGCCCAGCTTATTGTGAGAGCCTGCGAAGCAGCCCACGTGCTGTTTCCTGCCCCCTCACCACGTGTTTGCTGAGTCTGGGACACACACCAAGGCCAGGTGGCAGCACGGCTCCTGGCTGCTGAGAACATCTCAGGAGGGAGTGGTCTTGACGCCATCCTCACTTGTTCTAGGGCTCAGGGTCAGAGGAATGAACTCTGGAACCAATTGAAACGAAGAACCAAGTTGGATGCCCCCTTCCTGGTAGGTACTTGTAGGCAGCTCCAGAGTGGGGAGGAAGCCAGCCTGGAGCTTTAAAAAGTGATCATGTCAGGAAGTTCCAGAGCCTGAGGCGGTTCCAATTTTGCTCTCCCCAAGTCCAAGGATCTTACAGAAGATCCATCTTATCTAAATTGCTTGATCAGAGCAAAGGGGGGAAATCGCACAAAAGTGAGACAGAGACTCAATTACAGTCTGGCCTGACCCCTAACTAGCCATGTGCCCCTAATCCTGCTCCTTACCCTCCCAAGCCTTGATCCCTTCTCTAAAGTGGGTGCCCGAGTGAGTTTTCTATTCTATCTCCCATCTCTCACATTCTCTGATCATAGGATGTTTGTACCAAAGCCAGTACCAGTTACGGAGGATTATAAACTTGAGCAGCTGGATATTAATATGTTATCAGTGTGTACGGAAGACTATTAATTTCTGGACCTCGAAATCCAAAGTTTCAGAAAAAGTCTCTATTGACCCCCACACACACACTCACACACACATACTCATTCACACATTCTCACTCCCCCCCGTGCCCCTCCAACACACATACACATACATGCACCTGTGGGAGAGATTTTTGGAATGTCCCTCAATGCAGGAGGTTCTGAGGAAGTGGCTGTATTTGTGCATTACATTTGGGTTTTCCTCCGCATTGTGGGTTTGTCTGAAGGCAGACAACCCAGGACCCTGTTACATGGACTGTCACACACACACCTTCTAGCCATGTCTGCTGGGTATGAAGACCAGCTCCACACTGCATGGTCCCCAGCAGGCAGCTATGACCGGGTGCCTTCAGAACTCCAAGCCGACCGGCCCCCAGAGGAGTGAAGTGCCCTCCCAGATTCAGAGCTGCACACCACGGGCACTGGGAGAGGCCCTGTCCGCCTGGCACATGCCCCTTCAGCAGGAAAGCCTTGTCGAGAATGTGGCTGACTTACCCATCCTCCTGTGTCACATATGAATCTTCAGAGAATCACCGAGAATGCAGTTGTGCCCGAGTGCTAATAAATTCTTTCCATTGATTCTGTCAAAATCTGGCCATTCTTTCCTTTTCTTATTTGGCCTTTTCACCCTAAGGCTTAAGCTGGTTGCATTTACAAGGAAAATGTATGATTTCCAAGCAACCACTCACCCAAATAAGCGTGTGTTCAGACAGAAACACCCGTCTTATGCTATATCCCCCCCACCCTCCGTTGCTCAGTGGTGCTGGAGCCCATCTCCCCAGGAAGCCTGCTTTGATTAATCTGACCCATTTCCCAAACTTTTATTCGTCTTTCCTTGCTCAAATACCTTTGTAATTCGCATAATCAAAATCTGGTATGTCTGTCCTATCTTACCTGTTTAAAAGACATGCTCCACGTGTCTTTCATATTCATTCCCAGGAGCCCAAAACCCTGTGGCACCAACTCTAGGATGTACAAGGAATGCCTGCTGCCAAGCTGGCTTGCCTTTGCCCAATTACCCAGGCCCTAACCAGTCATGCCACTCACTCAGGCACGTCGACCCATCACTTATCACAGTTAAATACAGCCATTAACTGCTGGCTTCGGCCATCCTGTTTATCTGGGACAATAACGAGTCCCTGAGGGCTAGACCGCTCTCAGGTAGCTGCAGCTATTCTAGGACACTCACAGCTCAATGAACAGAGCCACCTGCACCAACTGATAAGCCGGGTGTGATGCCAGAGGGTGGTCTCCCAACCAGGCCCACTCCAGAAAGAGCTATGGTTTGGCCAGGTTTTCCAAAAAAAAAGGATTCTCTCTCTCCATCAACCATTGCTTCCTGAAGTGTTTTGAAATGGCTTTTACCAAAATGGAAGCATTTCCAGTAATGAAATGAGTGGCATCTCTTTTCGTACAGTTCAGTAATTGATGAAAGTCATTAAAAAAAAAAAAATCCCTTCCCCTACCAGTACGATTGTTATGGGACACAACCCACGGGGAGGAAGGCGTGGGGGCCCAGGGTCAGCTGCTGCTTAGCTCAGTACTGGCTCTGGCCCGAATCACACCTTCCTCACCCCAGTGCTGTTCACGTCATGCCTCTGACAAACTAAGGCTCGTGTACATTTTTTTTTTTTTAATTAAAACACAGGCCTTGTTTTAAAAGAATAATTTTTTTTCTTTAGCAACATCCCTTATTTTACTCTTTAATCAATAAAACTCACCACCATACAAGACCCCCTCCTGGGATAATTCCACCTTTAATTCTTTGGTTTATACATTAAAGCTTTGGTTTCCTTTGCTTAGCTGGTTGTACGGGTTAAATGGGCAGAGAAGTCTATTTAGTCTTACAAGGCATCGCTGCTATTTCTCGCTGACCTCTAAGCGCTCCTGGTGGACAAAGGACCCTGGACCTCGGAACCCACTCTGTGCACTCACAGAGAGAGAGTATCTTCACCCTGGACAACGGATCTAT